ATTACGGAATGGCCAGCTACCTCGTGGCTGCGAAGACATTCTGCTTTCTTCCAGTCTGATACAGCGCCAAGAGTACTGACAGGAGACTGGTGTTCTAGATTCACTTCTGGCACCAATTAGCTGTATGACTTCAGGCAGGTGGTTGCCTTTTCTGCTTCAGTTACGTCATCTGCAAACTGAGAATAAGAAAACCTGCCCCGCTACTGGAGAGAAGGATTACAGGGATCAGATTGATCTAGGGTACTGTTAAACCATTACATCTTAGAGACCTCCTGAGGATGTTTAGCTTGGTGAGTGAGGTGAGAACATTCAGTGATCAGGTTGGTGGGGCAACCACGTGCAGGGGAATTCCCTGCCACGTCTTGGAACCTCATCCAGCAAACAGCTCTCAAAAAGCAGGGCTGGGGAGTGGGAGACAGTCTATGGAGGTTCCACTGAGGCATGTCAGCCTAGCTGCTATTTGCCATTTCAGTTTCACCCAGGCTGGTGCTTTTTCTAAGTGCTTCAGAGCTGCCCAGCCACTTTGGTTACATCATCAATCTGGCATCTAATCTTAGTTGCATGGGATGTGTCTCTCGCTCACCAGATTCCTAAATTGTGAGAAAATACAGATATGTTGACGGGTTTGTCTGCCTGCCTGACCTTTTGGTTTTCTCTCTGCCTACTTCATCCCTAATTCCCTTGTGCCATCCTGGTCCTCCTGCCTTGCCTCCTCCACTCCCTCCACATCATTTCATAACTGATGCTTTTTCATTTCACTGGCTGGCACAAACTCGGTTTCCTTAGCAGTGGTTTTCTGGTCCTTCCACTGTCAAAGTGTTCACATCATGCTTGAGCTGCTTACAACTCTGATGCTTCCTGAACAAGTGCAGTGACAGCTAAGGACGTGAATTTCAGTTCTGCTTCTTTACCCTCTAGGGGAGAGGCTGTCCACTTTCTCTAGGTAGTTTGGGGCAGGGAAATTGGGTCCCAGTCTTCACTACTTCCCTTCCATCCCCCAGGTTGTTACCAGAATGATCTAAATGATCTAAATGGAAATGTTATTTACTTGCTCAAAGCCTGATGACCCCCCTCTGCCCATCCAGGCTCGGGGGCTACCCGGACACACAGATGGCTTTGTTTTTGTCCAGCACCATGTTGGCCTTCACAAGGTTCAAAATGATTTAAATTAGTAAGAACATTAAAGATCGGAAGATGGGTTATAAAACCCATGGTTTGGGTTTTTCTCAAAAGACTGGTAGATGGCAATGCTGGGCACCAGGAACTTGGTAGCGCTGCCCCTTAGCCACAGCAGTGTTCTCCAGATGACACAGCTGCCACTCTGGCCTTGTCACTCCCTTATGTTACCTAGGGAGGTTCTGGTGTTTGACACCTCCCCACCCCGTCGCCCGCTACAGGATCAAGTTCAACTTGAGTACTTGAGTTGAGATCAACGCTTTATGAGGTATACAGGATCCATACCAATTCCTTTAGGCCCCAACTACATCTGCCCCCACCTCCTGCCCCATGCCAGGCTTTCCCAGAATAGCTCTGCTGTGAAATGCTATGAAATGATTAGTTGTTTGCCTGTTTGAGTTTGCTCACCCGTACATTTTATTATTTTTTTAAACGAAGAGACCCATCTTGCAGATCCCTCTGGAGCATCCATTACAGGCAAGGGATGTGCCTGGCTTGGCCACACCACAATTGTGGAGTGTTTCAAGGAAGTTACATTTTAGATTTTCATGGCCTATTGATCTAAAGCTTCAGTGAAGGGCAAGAAGAGAGGAAGGAACAGATGGGTTTCTTTCTGTGGTTTCGGTTGTTTCCAAGACAAATCCGTTGCATTAGGTTACTTGGTCATGTATTTGCAGACATTCTGCTCTCTGAAGCTGAGGATAGCAGCAAAATGGCTTACCTTGGTTGGGATATCTGTTTTCAAACATTGCCCATTCTTTCCCAGAATTACAGGAAAATTGATATGTCAGTTAGCCTCATTACTTGAACTTCTAGACAATAAAGTAAGTTCAAGTTATTGAGTAATTACTTCCTTTATCGCTGTTCACATCAAGTCTAGGAGCTTGCAGTAGAGTGATGTTCAGAAAACTAGGCATTTGCTTCTCCAATTTCAAGAAATGGCTGTATAGGTTGGGCTTTATCTTACTGGGGTCATTACTTGCTCCAAGTTCCATTCTGTGCTGGTTCCAAAACTTGATTTCCCCAGGAGGAGTCAGGCTTTTGGAATTTATGTCATCCTACTCAAACTCATAAGATCTATCTATAAACTACAATATCCCTTTTCTGTTTATTTACTGAACACCTATTGAGTGTATGGCCCTGTCCTAATCTCTGGAGAAACAAAAATAAATCACAAATATGATGTGGTCCCTGCCATTTAGAAGCTTATGGTCTAGAAGTGGGACAGATAGGTAAACAAATACATTATATATCATATGCTAAGTGTAGGGTGACCTTACATCCTGGGGACATCCTGGTTTGTGCTTGCTGTCTGGTGTAACTATTAATAGTGTCCCCTTTCGAAACCATCTAAGGGCCACAGTAAAAGTTTCTTTGAGAGGTTGGGGTATAGAGATGGTAGAAACAGGAGAAATCAGCCTGCTTTCTCAGACTAAACACTTGAGTTGGGTATTGAAGGAAGTTTGGGAAGTCAAGGTCTGGGAGCTCGAGGTGGGGGTAAGAGGGTGGGAATGTGCAGAACTCTACAGGAAAAAGAGAAATAGTTCCAGCAGCAGCAATTAGTCCAAGCTCATCATTGTTTCCCAAATTTATCCTGTGGAAAAAAAATTCCGCAAGATACTTGGTAAAAATTCAGATTTCCAGGCCCTGGTGGTGATTTGAGTTAGTATTTTTAAAGAAGCACCCCAGATGATTCTGGGACATACTGAAAGTTCAGAACCAATTCTCTACTGATTATGGCTTAGGAATACAAAGGGCTGGGAGTAATGAGGAACAGGAACTGCAAGACTATAGCACAAGTCACCTATCAACCAGGTGGGATGCCCTCAGGTGGGAAAACCCTGAGGTAGAACTAGTTGGAAGACATTTGCAGTGGAGCTGTAAGAAACAGACAGTTTGGGAAGTATGTCAGTGACAGTGGGGATGCAGGGGAATGAAGATTTGAGAACTACCCAGCAGAAAGAATGAACAGGATGTAAGAAGACATAGGTGCCAGTTACTAATTTACAAGGGGGGGGGGGTGGTAATATTATTTCCAGGCAACAAAACACGGGTCAAATCCAGGAACCTGGGGGAGTTTATAACCTGAAGGTTTATATGATGAGCCATAAACCTAAAAATACAAAGAACTGGATAATGTTGGGGTATATTTCATGACTTAAAAAAAAAAAAAAAAAAGACTCCTGCTTACTCCCCATCCTTGTAGTCTCCAGAACAATCCTGACAGTTGTGTTTCTCTCTGGAAAGGAGCTGGATGAATTCTAAAGCATCCTGACACCCTAATCCTTTTATCTAGACTTCAGGCAAACCTCTGCCTTTCTGTTATGGTAAGACTAAGTTATCTTATGGTAAGATAACTACCCTGCCTTATCTTACAGTATATTTGCTTTTGTTTTTGTTATCAAATGTGTAAGACAGTCATGACTCCTCAGCATGACTCCCCTTTTAGGGGAGACTGTCTCTTGCAGTTTCAGCATGACTTTGTTCCTAAACTCTGAAGCTGCTCTCTCTGTGAGAACCTGCAACCACCTCACAGATTCACGGCGACTCTGGGAAATTACAATAATACAAGAAATGCCTTATACAGGCAAGGAGACCATGAAACCTGGTGTTTGTGGTTTGTGTCTGCCAGCTTCCTTGGTGCATTGGAGATTCTGAGGCGAGCAATCCCTAAACGGAAAATGAAGAAAATCCGAGGAGAGCTCTTCTATTTCCTTCTGCTTTCAAACATAAAGCAATTTGAAGGCTGCCTTCACCAGGCCTGTTGGCATACTTCTGAAGCAGTAAACGAAGTCAGAAATCAAAGATTTAGACGAAGTTATGAAGAGAAAGCCTCAAAAAGGAGAATGGGAAGCCGATCAGGCTGTAATTTCACAGGGGTAATTTAGCACCCTTTACCAAAGACCTGGCCCCAGAGCGTCCAGGAGTGCGGTTTGGGGAGGGACAAAGCATCTACAATTCCAGTCCTTGGCTCCTCTTGTAGCATTGCTGAGGAATTTCCAAATCCTGGGAGTGGTGGAGTCGGAGGTGAATAGGCCGAGATCTTCCACGCTGTCAATGTCAGGGAGGGGTAAAAAGAACAGGCAACTGCGGCCTCAAAGTTTTTTTTTTTTTTTTTTTTTTTTTTTTTTTTTTAATAAGGGGCTTCACTTCTATGCGATCTAATGTCACAACGCCATTAAGTCACAGTAGCAAGATGAAAAAATAAGGGAAAGAGGAAAAGCCCAGCGTGCACGGACCCAGGAAATGGATCTTCCCAGCTCCCGCCGCTCGCTGAGCTGTTGGGGGCGCCTGGGTGTTCTGCCTGCCGGAGTCGCAGCGGGGCAGCCCCCAGCCCGCAGTCCGGGCGCTACCAGCACGGCGCCGCGGCGGGGGGATCGGGCGGGCGCGCCGCGGACCTCAAAGCCCCGGCGCCGCCTTCGCCCCCGCCCGCGCGCGCGAATAGTACGGTCCAAGGGGGCGGCTCCTGGGGCGCGGCTCCCGCGGCAGCTGATGCGCGCCCCGCCGGCCGGGAGGCGGGAGCCCGAGACCCCAAGACCCGAGCCACCCGGCGCCGCGGGCCGGGGCCCTGAGGAGGCCCCAGGAGAGGCGTCTTCCCGGCGGGAGTCGCCCGGCGCGGGGGTGGCCGCGACCGCACCGTTGGGGAAGGAGGACGAGGAGGAAGCGGCGCTGACTGCCGGCCGAGAGGAAGCGCTCCACTCGGGCCCCCGACGGCGCTCGTTTAACCACATCCGCACCTCCGCTGGAAACGCTTACAGGCGCCTGTCACCCGTTCCCTCCATTTTGAAAGGGAAAAAAGGCTCTCCCCCTTCCCCTACTCGTAGGAGCTGGAGCCGGAGGAGCCGCGCTCATGGCGTTCAGCCCTTGGCAGATCCTGTCCCCAGTGCAGTGGGCGAAATGGACCTGGTCCGCGGTGCGCGGCGGGGGCGCCGGAGAGGACGAGGCCGGAGGGCCCGAGGGCGATCCCGAGGAGGAGGACTCGCAAGCCGAGACCAAATCCTTGAGTTTCAGGCAAGTACACGCATCCCTGCCGAGATGCAGACGTGCTGCCATCCATCCATCTGCGGCTCATTCTGTGTGCGTTGTGTGTGGTCGCTCACCCGCGTAACCATTATCATGGCAATGCTGCGTCCCTGCCCGTAACCGGGTCCCCGCTGTGCATTCGAAAGTTCAGGATGTTTTGTCCGGTATTACCTTTCCTCCGTTTCCGTATGAGCTTTCAGAACCTAACCCGGAATCTGCAGTCTTCCCGCATCCCGGTCTGCTTCAGTCACTTTCTCTAAGCTTCGATCCCCCAGCCCCCGCCCCTACACACAAGAGTGTCATTGATCACACCGGTAGAACTTGGGGCCCTCCCTGTGGAGAAGAAGTCGCTCCCAGGCCCTCCTGGTGTCCCCTTGTGGCCCGAAAATGCAGCCTTGGTAAAGAAGGTCGCGTGATGACAGGCCCCTGGCAGCTGGTGAGAAATGGTGGTCTTTGCTGAGCTGCCACCGAGTGATTGAGGAAGGCAGGTGACAGCATTCTCAGCCTCAGGCCGAGTGAGTTCCAAACAGGTAGAGGCCTGCCAAAGAAAAAGGCATCATGGCGAGAGCTGGCTTAATTTTAGGGGGAGAGGGCAGTCTTAATTTTTAAACCTATGAGAAAGGATTCTTGTTAGAAAAGGAGTCTGTTGGAAAGCGCTTTTGGGGGGATGTCAGAAGAAAGGATGACCTCAGAAATAAATGGTGATGAGAAGAGCTCCGGAGGATGGAGGAGATATTCAGGGAGACTGGATGCCAGACAGAAGGCGGAGGAGGGCCCTGCGAGAAAACCCGCAGCAGCTCCCACAGGCCAGTCCTTGCTGAGGACTAGTGGGTTGTAAAGTTAGGCAAAAATGCTGGACTTTAGCCTTTTCGGATATGTAGGTTGTAAAGGGTGTCGGAAATACCGTTGAAAGTGGTAATTCCTCATTTTTCCCCCTTGGCAGCTCGGATTCAGAAGGTAATTTTGAGACCCCTGAAGCTGAAACACCAATCAGATCACCTCTCAAGGAATCCTGTGATTCATCATTAGGATTGGCAGCACCGGGGGCCAAAACCCAAGGTAAAGGAAGATTTTCATTTTCTGCCTCTTTTGTTTTAAAGTTTTGAGAATGTAAATGAGGGAAGGAAGAGTGTTAACTTAGGACCATTTAAAAAGCTTTTGATCGACTACTTACTAAAAAAGAGCTGTTTTAAGGCTCCTGGCTTATTTGAAATATTTTTGTTTGTTTCAGGAATATGGTTTTCTTCCCAAGTGGTTTGTACATTTGCAGTTTGAGATTATCATTATCAAACATTCCTGCTGGGCCCTTCACCCTAAGCCCCTAAAAACCAAAAATGTGTGTAGTAATGCAGAGGTGAAGGTATGTTTAGATTTGGCTTCAGATGTTTCTCAGGCTAAGTCACTTTCTTCAGGGGTGTGTGTGGCTGGAGACAAAAATTATATGTAAGAGTGGACCTTTTTAGATAAGAAGGAATCTTAAGCTGTTTCAAAATTGTTCACTTCTCCTTCATCTGTATAGGAATGGTGAGCCTCTCAGTCTACCTAAGGAAACCTGGCACAGAGATGGTCTCCTAGCCCCTCAGAGCTCAACCTTGAGCCTGCCCTTCAACTACAAAAGCTTCTGATCCATTTAATTAGTAGAAACCTTTTTTGTCACACAGCCAGTTTTGAGTAAAATTTCACCTGTCCTGGTAGAGTCTGTTTATCTGTTCAATAGAGTGCGCTGTGATTCAGCAGTGAAAAAGTCTTGCTCTCACTGAGCTAACGTTATGGAGGGAAATGGATCTTTTAAAGGTTAAGCAAGATACACATGTCAGCTTGTCTTAAGTATTATGGAAAAAAATAAAGCAGGGAAAGGAGGTATAGGGTGCATGGGGTAGGGATAAGAGATGCCAAAGGGTAATTAGGCCGAGCCTTGCCAATAAGGGAACTTGAGCAGAGCCCTGAAAGAAGATTGAGGGAACAGCCTTGCAGATTCTTGGGGAGAGAACCTTTCCAGCAAAGGGAATGGCATCTGCAAAGGCCTAAAACAGTACCAGCCTGAGATGGGGTGAGGCCCCATGGTGGGAGGGTTTTGAGGACCAATGAAGAAGCCAGTGTGGATGGAGTGGTGACTAGGAAGGGAACAGTAGGAGCTGAAGTTAGATAAAGGAAAGTCTGGAACACTTTGTAATGATGCTTGGATTTTCTTTCTGAGTAAGATAGGAAGCCATTGGAGGGTGTGTTATCTCCCCAGGGCTGCCTTGACAAAGTAGAAACCCACAAACTGGGTGGGTTAAAACAACAGAAATATATTCTCTCACAGATTTGGAGGCTAGAAGTCCGAAATCGAGGTATCAGCAGAGCCACAGAGCCATGTTCCTTCCTAAGGTTCTAGGGAAAAATCCTTTCTTGTCTCCTCTAGCTTCTGGTGGTGGCTGATACTTCACGGTGTTCCTTGGCTTGTGGCAGGATAACTCCAGTCTCTGTCTCCTTCATTACAAGGCCATCTTCTTCCTGTGTATCTCTGTGCCTTCACATGACATTCCTTTAAGGACACCGGTGATTAGATATAGGGACCCTCCTAATCCAGTATGACCACATCTTAACTTGATTACATCTGCAAAGGTACTATTTCCAAATAAGGTCACATTCACAGGTATGGAGAGTTAGGGCTTCAACATATCTTTTTGAGGGATGCAATTTAACCCATAACAGAGCGCTTTGAGCAGAGAGATCATGTTTTGACATCCTTTTATTTTTTTTTTTTAATTTTTTTTTCAACGTTTATTTATTTTTGGGACAGAGAGAGACAGAGCATGAACGGGCGAGGGGCAGAGAGAGAGGGAGACACAGAATCGGAAACAGGCTCCAGACTCTGAGCCATCAGCCCAGAGCCCGACGCAGGGCTCGAACTCACGGACCGTGAGATCGTGACCTGGTTGAAGTCGGAGGCTTAACCGACTGCGCCACCCAGGCGCCCCTGACATCCTTCTAAAAAGACATGAGGCGCCTAGGTGGCTCAGTTGGTTAATCATCCGACTGTTGATTTCAGCTCAGGTCATGATCTCACAGTTTGTGAGATTGAAGCCCGTGATGGCTTCTGCACTGAAAGTTCGGAACTGGGAGCCTGGTTCGGATGCTCTCTGTCTGTCTGCCCTCCCCCACTTGTGCTCTCTATCTCAAAATAAACAAATAAACATTGAAAAAAAAAAGGCTACTTAACTGTTGTCTGGAGAAGGGACTCTAGCATGGATGTTGTTCTTCCATGTTTTCTCTTTTCCAGTGTCTGCCAGTGTCATCCTTCAATAGAGCCAGGTTATCCTGTTAACTAGTTTTTGACTTGATTATGACTTTTTTCTCCTAACGGTTACTGTATTTTATTGCTTCATAACTTCCTTACAGGTTGCTTGGGAAGTCAGGTTCTCTGTGAAAGACTTCATGATGGAGCTGGAATTATTGGTTCACTGATAATAATTATTATTATTACTTTTGTGGTTTGATTTTGCTTTGACTTGGGAGTTGTCTAATGCGTTTCCCCTGCTGAGAATTCAGCCATACTCTCAACACACCCTGGGTAGCCTCCCTCCCTGCTTTTTTTTCCACCCTGGGTTGCTTTTCACCATTGTTTTAGGCAGAGACCGCATGGGAACAGGCAGGTTTATACATTGGAGAGCTCACATGTGGCGCTTAGCTTTGCACACGGAAGATGCACTTGTTCTTCAAAGCTTCCTTTTTCTTCTGTCAAGATTGGCAGATCAGAAGAGAGATTTGAAAGCTGGAAAGAACTATTTTGAAGTTTTCCCATCAAATTTAAGTAATGCTCACGAGACCCATAAGTAGCGATTTGAAAGTCTCTTTGAATGTCCCTCAGCTTGGGCAGCTCCCTTCCTCACCATTCTGTCAGCTCCTAGTCTGATTCATCTTGACATATTCTTTGCTAATTGCATAGAGGCTCCTATGGCTCAGACCCCCCAGAGCCATAGAGAACCTATTGTTTGGTCCTTCCTGTGCCACTGACTCTTTTTTTACATGTTTTGGTAACTTCTAGCTCACATTCTTTTTCTCTCTTCTTTTGAAAGATTTCTTTTTAGAGAGTCATGGACCAGGAAAGCTGTGTGGAGTAGATCATGATTGGAGACCATGTATTTGATGGGGTAATGGGGTAGGGTGTACAATCTAGGAGACTACCACCACATATTAAGAAATCTTTCAATTTGGGGGGCGCCTGGGTGGCTCAGTCAGTTAAGTGTCCGACTTCAGCCCAGGTCACGATCTCATAGTCCATCAGTTCGAGCCCCGCGTCGGGCTCTGGGCTGATGGCTCGGAGCCTGGAGCCTGCTTCCGATTCTGTGTCTTCCTCTCTCTCTGACCCCTCCCCCGTTCATGCTCTGTCTCTGTCTCAAAAAATAAATAAATAAATAAAACGTTAAAAAAAAATCTTTCAATTTGGGGTTTTGTTTTATTTTTAATGTTTATTTTAGAGAGAGAGAAAGAGAAAGGGCAAATGGGGGAGGGGCAGAGAGAGAGGGGGACAGAAGATCTAAAGCAGACTCCATGCTGACAGCAGAGAACCTGATGTGGGGCTTGAACACACAAAATGTAAGATCATGACCCGAGCCAAAGTTGGATGCCTAACTGACTGAACCACCCAGGTGCCCCTGGAGCCTTTAAATAATAGGATGATTGTATATCAGCCTGGTAGTATTCTGCCCTTGAGAGCTCCTTCTGCCCAACGTGTAGAGTTAGCCCAGAGTCTTGTTGATGGCCTTGTTGCACATACAGAGTAAATATAAAAATACAACCAAACACCGGTCTGACCAGGGAAGATATCAGTGGACCAAAATTCCTGGAGACACGTTTCTCGTTGAAGTCTTAACTTCTGAGCTTGGATGGTCCTCTTTCTCCCAAATTGTTGATTATTTGGCTCCTGATAAAGTTAGTCTTTCATATATCTTTGGTTCCAAGACATAGTGGGATAGCAGGTAGAAATTATATAAGACTGTATCATTTTGGGGGATTATTTATGAGTTAGTCAGGGGTTAGAGTTAACATACATAAAAGATACTGGCTTCCTGGTATATTATGGTCCCCCAATGTATGGGCTGTATTCCACCCCAACTTCCATATGATTCTTTGGACGCAGGGAAACATCTACACCTATTTGAAGTTAATTTTCTTTTTATTGGAAGTTTTTGGGGACTTACAGTATCTGAACTCTGTCTTAACACTCCTTAAGACAGAATTGTATGCCATTCTAGGAATGAAACAATGGATGAGGTTGTGGGGATTTTTTTAAGCCACAGACAGAAGCTGGCTTCGGACTAACTGGTAAAATAAAAGTTTAGCCAAAGAGGTTCCTTGAAAATACCAGAGTGGTGGCTGTAATACTGGGGCTGGTAGTTCTGTGTTTGCTATCTGTCTGCCTCCCCCAACAAAGAGTGTTTAAGCTGCTGCTGTTAACTGTTCTTTCTTTTTGCTGGGGGATGTATCAGTGAGGAGATGGCACGTACAGAGGACTTCTGAAAGAGGTACAATCTCAAGTTCATCCCCTCCCCACTTTTTTGTGTGTGTGTGCTTATGGACTATGGTTTTGTCCATTGTCCTAGACTATAAAAGCTGCAGTGAGTGGATGTCCTGTGCTACTAGAAGCTACTAGAAGTCTCCCTGCCACACATATACCTTTATATGTATATACATATACATATATGTATATACCTTTCTTTGAGAAAGAAAATCTTAATTCATGCTGAAGCTCTTGTGTGTGCCCTTGGAACAGCTAGTTAAATCTACCCTGTTTGATATGTTAATTAGGTGCCTTTTCAAAGACTCACTGTAGTCCTCCAGAATAGAAGGAAAGAGATAAACAGGATCAGTCCACAGATGTTTACTGCTGGAGGCCTGGTGGGGAATGCAGAGTTGTTTATTGACACAGTTTTGGTAGTCTCGATCAGGAATCAGCAGACTGTGGCTCACAGACCAAATGTGGCCCTGTCTCTTGCTCTGACTGATTATTGTTTTGTCTGGGAGCTAAGAATTGTTTTTACATTTTTAAGTGCTTGAAAAAAATTGTGACGTGT